CTGTTTCGCCCTTCGAGTGAGAATCCACTGACTTGTGCAAAGAAAGTTATTGACTCGCTCACTAACGAGGAAGCGTTCTGAGTCACGAACGAATTGCTGACGCCCCTTCCTGCTTTGCTATGTTACTTGTTGAAAGACATTCGATTGACGAATGGAAAGAAAGTTAACGACTCATTAACGAGGAAGCGCTCTGGCACAAGTACGTCGAGGAACTGGACGAGATCAAATCACCCTGACTGTTCAATTCTGCATCTGCTGACGCACTTGTTGCCAGAGACAAAGCTGGGGTAAGTGACACACTGGCTAATATGTTATCTGATTGGCTAGACACTTTTGCATTGGTTGCAGACGGCGACATAGATAAGAACAAATGCATTGTTGTGTGATGTGATGGTTATTGATGTTCTGAAGCCGCCTTAAAAAGCCGTGATTAATGTATATCAGGCCACGCGAATAAAATGTCGAATTATGTTTATAAAGATGACTGCGAAATCGAAGTTTTCGCTCGGTCGTCTAAAACTAGCGCAGTTGGTTAAAATTCCCTTCATAGGTTTTCGTCTAGCGCGCTTGATTTTCACGGGCCAAACTAACCATTTAGATATGGTATACCCATAGCAAAGCTCTTTCTTTAGAACCTCTTATTTGTTGAGAGACTATTACACTAGAAGAGTTATGAGCTTCTAAAATCAGTTGAAATTTGGCATGTCAATTACATTGCGATAGTTGTATATTTCAAATGGCCAAAAAGCATAAAAAGAATAGAAGGGGTACAACGACGCGCGACTAGGCTTATGTTACCCGATGTTAGCTATAATGAGCGCCTAAAACGTCTCAACCTGTTACCACTGGTATACCGCAGAGAAGTCAAGGACCTCTCAATCTTTTATAAACTGAAGTGCGGGCATTTCAACTCTTCATTTAATCCGTATTTTCAATTTTGTTCAGATGAGAGATTAAGATCACACTCTGGTAATAAACTGAAAATTAACAGAGTTAGGACGGAACTTTTTAAGGGAGCTTCTTTTAACAGGATTCCGTATTTACGGAACAATTTGCCCGATGAATTGAGGACTGCCAACTCTACTAGTGCTTTTTCTTTTAAGAAATTATGCCCTATTTTTTTTTATAAAGATAAGGTTTTTAACCCTGAGCGCCCCTAAACCACCTGGGCTAAAATCAGTCGTTAGTTAGTTAGCTAGTCAGTCAGGTAGTTAGGTAGTTAGTAGATAACTAACAAATTGCTGGTTAAATAATTCAGTTTTTATATATTCATACATTTTCTTTTCATAATGGGTGGACTAGCACGTATT